GTGGAGCCTGCGCGCATTGATACCACCGGCACCGACGTCCCTACCCGAAGGAGGACCCGGACTGGAACTCGGAGATGCCGCAGACCCCGTCGCGCTCGGCATCACGCCGCGCGCAATGAGCATGGTCATGGGTATCGCGCCCCCCCACTGGCTGCTGCATCCGCGGCGCCGTTGGTCCTCAGTACTTGCCCACCGCGCTTGCGCTCGCGAATCTACCCCGGCTTCGCCCACCGCCACATGCACACCTCGCCCGCCCGACGGGCCGCTCCTGCACACGCCGTTTGTCTTGTGCACCGTGCCCACCGCACATGTGCGCGCGCGCAGATCTCCCGTCCTCGCCTCGACGTCGGCCTCGTCTACCGCAGCTCCGCCCAAGTGGCCGTTCCACACGCGCCGTTTCTCGGTGCAGCTCTGCCCGCCGCGCTCGCGCGCGTATCTAGGTTCATCCGATCGCACACCGAATGCACCGCCCTCGCCTCGAGATTGGCCTCGTCCACCTCCACCGCACCACGCGCATCTTGCCCGCCCGCCTGGCCGCTCCTCGCGCGCCGTTTGTCTTGCGCACTGTGCTGGCGTCCACGTCGCTCGCGTCCACCACGACCTCGCACACCTCCTATCTCTGTACACCTTCGCCGTACATATTGCTACTTCTGCTCATCGAGTCCTCGCTCTCCATCCCCCCTTTGCTCGCTCGACGTTCCCGTGCCCTTCTTTTCGCCCGCCTCGCTGGCGTCAACTCGCACTGCAATACCCATCCGGGCACGCTAGCAGGGAGTGCTAGCAGGGATGAGAGCGGATCCCACCCGCCTCTCTTCCTCTCCTTCGCCGATGGCCTACCACCGATCGACGAGCGACAGACAACCCTCGCGGTCGTGATCGAATAGAACGCGTTCCTCGAGCGTCGGCGCACTGAGGGTGAACACCTCGCACGCAAATAGGGGAGGTGGGAAGGTGGGACGACGGATCGACTCGTCCGGCGGAGGTGAACCCTTGGCGTACGGGTGCGAGGAAATGGACGCTTGAGTGGGCAACGGCAACGGCTGCGGGCGTGGTCGAGGTCGAGGAGCGGCGGGAGGGGAGGGAGAGAAGGGGAGAGATGGCGGGAGGGCACGAGCATGAGGACGAGGAGCACGGAGGACAACGGTGGATACCGCGCGGGGGCGCATATCCGCATATGCGCAAGAGGTACGTATATTCGTCCATCTGGTTTCATCCGACCTCGGCTTACGCCCAGCAGTGCGGGTCTGCGCGGACGACACAGCAAGCTCGCTCTCGTATGCAGGACGACCCCGATGCCTGTACCCGCTGCCCCGCAAGCTCATGCCTGGGAAAGACGCGAACGTGTCAGGGAGGGAGTGAGACGGTATAGCCACAGATCCGGACCCAGCAACGCCCATGAATATTAGCAGGGGCGAGTCGGCGTTTTGTCGCGCCGTTGTTTCCTTCCCCTTGATATACATTTATTTGTTGTCTCTTGCATTTTTTCTCAGTTCTGCTTCCGCTGGGATGAGCTTCCAGAGTGACGACCTACTGATGACAACGAAGTTGCAGGTATTTTTTGCCGCCGCCAGGCAAGACTCGACTCGCCTGCTTGTTTCCGCCCGTATTCACCCTTCTGTTTTGGACTAAGTATTCATCATGGTGGTGCCGAATTCAAGCGAATTGATTTGATGCGGCGATCTTGCTTCAAACCACCCATGTTTTGCTCTGTACCCGCACTATGACAGCTGAATGCAATATTCTGGACCGTTTCGCTCTCGTCAATTGTGGAGCTGTGGCGGCGTGTGAAGGCTGGCTATTGCGGCGGCAGCAAACGGCAGCTTGCGAGCTGATGTGCCATCAGCCTTTATGACGTTCTCCACACAACCTGGATTCCCCGGCTCCAACTGCGCCACGGATCGAAATGGCCTAGAATATTGCATTCAGCTGGAATCTTTTGGCTCGCGGTTGTACTCCCAGTTCGATGTTAGACGGCTATTGCGGATGCCCTTCTCGGTTGTAGGATTACCGGCAGCGCACGCAAGATTTTGTTCGCACAGTCGCAGACACGTTCGATGAATCTGTTCTGCCGGTGATGCATGAAAAGAAAAACCGCGCTTCACGCGCAAAAACCTAGCCAATAATTGAAAAGGCTCCGTCAAGTTCGTGCATTCCCACCGTCTCTTGACTTGATCTCTGGCTTTTCTTAGCATGTAGTGCATGGTCTCGCTCGAACGTCGTGAGATGGGATCTAAACCCTGATACTGCCACTCAGAGAAAGGAGGCCTCTATTTCTCACTAATTCCTCGTCTTCCATTGAACATCTTTTTTTGGGGGTTTTACGGCCTGGCTTGAGAAATCAATATGCATGTCGTATGCATGCAACATTGATCGAATATTGATCCGGCCCGGGGAGGTTCCTTTCGCTGCGCATCCAGAGCTACTCATCCAGTATTCGTCCAACTTCCCATTCGGTTGCTGCTAGACTTGGTACTTACAGACCACCGCGCGTAAGTAGTGTGTGCCATGTCCAGAAAAGTCTCCCGAATTGTACAGAGATTTTGGCGGATTCAAGGCGTCAAATCACCCATCGCGAACGAGGGCGCACCTCCGCTGGCCATTCACGTTGCGGCTCTTGTGTACATCACCTTCCTCGTAGCTCTGGTACGCGGGCTGAGTATTCCACCGGAGCCTGCGCACGAGGCTGCATTTTTGTAGGCCCCGCAGGTGCCGCGCTTGCTACGCCCAACTCTGAGTCTCTGGCTCGGCCGTCATTCAGATTGCTCTCCGTGTCTTCTCATCGCAATCTTCCCTATCGAACTTTACTGACCGTTTTTGATTTCCAGCAGTCTGCGGCGCGAAAGGGAAACATAGTGTCCTCACCGCCGTCACCCGCTTCCACGCAGATTTGTACTACACCGATATCGTGACGAATGTGGTGCCCGCATGATGCGAGGCGGCGCGTATTGGGTACGTCCTCTCTCGTCTCCTCTCGGTCCCCCCCGCCAGTCTTCTCGTTGCGTCGTGTTTCATTCTGCTAATAGACATATTCTAGTGTGCCTCCGCCGCGTCCATCTCACCACCATCCCCGCGTCTGCCACCAGCCGCAGCGACCCACCACCCACGACCTCCATCTCCTCTCTCCTCGAAGCACTCGCTTTACTCGCCGCGGGCTCCTCACATGCTCAAGCACGAGTGGGCACTGGGTGGGATGGTACGATTATGATCGAGGAGCTGTCCAAGCACGAGCGCGGGCACGGGCGTGCCGGACGACTCGGCATATATTGGGAAGAGACGGGGCGCTTTGGCATTGCGACTCTTTTTCGCGCGCTCCCAACGACCCTCACGCCTCCCTTTCGTGAGCCCTCCCGACGACCTTGTCCCGCCCGCGCTGCTTCCGCTGTCCACGACGAGCGCCCGTGCCCGGGCCAGTACCCTACCGCGCCCGCCCCCGCGCCCGTCACCTGCAGATGGAGTAGAGCGCGCGCGCAGCATTGATACCGCCAGCACCGACTTACCCACCCACACCAACACCGACGTCGCGATCCGCGAGTGCGGCACCGTCTACCCTTTGAAGCAGGACCGGGACCTGCGGACTCAGATCCGAAGAGGCGGCGGGGCCCAGTCCCGCTCGACACCGTGCCGCGCGTGTGCATGGGGAACGGCATCGCGCCCGCCCTGCTGCTCCGCACACAGTGTTCTTGCTCTTCACTTTGTCTTCCCCGCTTGCACGCGCATCCACGTTCATCAGCTCGCATACCGAGTCTACGTCGCCCACCGCCCAGCAGCGGACCACGCACATACTCGGACTCAAGACAAGCAAGACAACTCGAGGCAGCGGACCCGGCTCGCACGACACCGCGGGCATGTGCATCATCCGTCCCCCCGTCCATACGCACGCGCTGTTTGCTTCATCCATTGGGAAACGCGCTTGCGCCCAAACCCGGCCCCGCCCACAAGATTGAGGGAGAGGAAGGGAGCAGCAGGCCCCGCGCAGTCGACGCCGCGGGCATGTGCATCACCTCCCGTCCGCGCATGCGCCGCCCCTTCTCTAGCCAGAGCGCCTGCGCCCGTGTCCTAGTCCGCTCATCCTCATCGCACATCAAGTCTCCTGCAGCTCGCGCGCCACCCGGAAGCGCGCCACGCACCACACTCTCGCTCCGCCTTGCACACCCCGACTCGTCTACCGGCCCCGCATCGGCCTCGACATCGGCCTCGTACACCAGTGCTCGCCGTACCGTACTTGCTGCTCACCTGCCTCAGATACTCCCCTCCCTCTTCTTCCCTCCGTTGCACATTCTCCCCTGCGCTGAGCAAGCCAAGAGTGGGAAGCGGATTCCACACGCCCTCCCCCTCCTCTCCCTTCGCCGATGGCCGCGCGACAAACGCAATGCTTGGAGGAGGGGCAGCGCGGCGAGTATGCGGGTGCCGTCGAATGGGGCGCGTACCGCAGGGCGCTCGCGGACACAGGTGGAGGCTGGGAAGGGCGCGAGCGAGCAGCGCGCAGATCCATAGACGGAAGGGAAGGAAGGTGGGATATTTCAGTAAGGGCGAGCAGGAGCAAAGCGAAGGTGTGAGGCAGCCGGAGGTGGGGGAGAGCAGCCGGAGGCGGGGGAGAGGAAGGACAGCGCGGCACGGAGCGGAGAGAGGACAACGGCGGGTACCGCGTGGGACGCACATGTGCGCATGCACGGGAGGGTAGGTAAATATGGACCTTCGTCTGGCTTCATCTGATCCCGGCTTACGCTCCAGCAGTGCGGGGTGATCTTCGCTGCGCCTATAGCAAGCTCATTATCGCGAGGGAGCTGTCATGCGAGCAGCCAAGATTCTTTACAGGCCTGCGCTGCAAGACCAAGGGAAAGGCGCGGGCCCGAGAAGGACAGAGGAAGTCGGGAAAGCGGTGAAAGACTGCGATGTGGAGTGAGGCATTCTTTGTATCGCGTTGGTCGTCTTTATATACACTTGATTTTTGCTTCCGCTGCTTCGTCTGGGATGTGCACCGACGGCAATGTACTGCTACAGCATTCATGGGGTAGTGGTAACCTGGGTCGTTGCCATTCTAAGGCTCGTTTACGTTGTGGACTCGCCGGGGGGTTCGATTCCCATTAATGCATGGCCAGGATTTCAGCCCTTTTTGCCACCGCCAGAGAAGTGCTCGACTACCTACTTGTCAATGCTTTTCAAAGCAATGATTAATCGTCTCGCCTGAATGAGGCTCCTTTCTCCTTTCTCACCGAGACCACCGTTTTTGATTTTCGTCCTATTCACCCCATCGGCTGTCTCCGCAGTTCATGTTCCGAACTTAGGCAGGCGCTCGGGTGGAAAATCGAAGCTAAGAGAATATATGGCTGATAAATGGGTCTTCGACCAGTCCATCGGAATACTGATAAATTTGGTTCATCCCCAAACACTAGATTTTGTTTCCGCCCACCCTTGTATATTCTTTCTTGGATTATTCGACTCATCATAGGGCGCTGCCGAACTGATGTGGTTGATGCGACGATCTTCTTTACTACCACCAATCCCTTTTTTCGGTTTACGCTGCCGCTTGACGGTTGACCACTACTGCGGATGCCCTTCACTACTGCGAGATTTCGTCGACGCGTTCCCATGAATCAATTCTGCGGGAGGTGCATGAAAAGAAAACCGCGCTTGAGGTGCAAAAACTTGGCCAATAACTGAACAGGCTCCCCGCAGTTCAAGTTTGTGTTTTCCCCTTGTCTTTTGATTATCTCTGGAGTCTGATTGCTCTTAGAATGTAGCGCGCGACCTCGCCCCAAAAATATCATGAGATTGGATCGAAACCTGATACTGCCACTCAGGAACGAGGTCAACTCTTTGCCCACTATTTCTTCACCTTCCCGAACGGCGTCCGTCTAAACTCAATTCCGTCCTCCATCAATCTATTGCCAGCATAACAGCACGATCTTCGGGGAATTTACAGTTCTAGCGCTCAGATTACTCAACAGCTCTGTAAGCGCAATCTCGTGGGTCGCAGACGGTCTTATCTCCGCCACTGCCTTCCTGGACTCGCAACCGTTATGACACAGCTTTTCCGCTGTATTTTCGCTAGCGCGCGCGCCCGTTAATGCCTATCACCCCGGAAGCTCTGTCGCATTCAACTATATGACGGTGCGGCGAACTGACGCCACATCGACATCTGGCTCTCGGAACCCGCGCCAGCGGTCTCAATTACGGCTGGTCGGAAGTGATCTGGGCAGAAGTTCCCCAGAATATCTTCCCATCTGCAGCCGCTGCGCAATAATCTGGCAGCTGTCGCGATATATATCAGCACGGATCGTGGCTCGATGGTGACTCTTGCACCCAAAGCTCATGGGTGAGACTCGATTCCACAGACTTCAGACTGCCCCGAAGGCGTGCAAAAATGTTCACAGACGCAGGTAGGTTGGCCATACTTATCCCGGGAACTGCACAAAATTAGCGTCGTAGAATCATTCGTGACTTCAATCGCTTCTGATGCAGCACTTAGGCACGCGAAGCCTGTGTGCCCTTCCACTTCTCTTTGCTTTCTTCTGACCACTGAATGTCTTCTACCAGTGAAGCCGTCCTCGTGCCCTGCACAGATACCCCCGCCAGGAATGTCGGTGTGCGCACCCACACTCTCCTCCGCGTTCCACGACTAACACGTCGTGCATGCCAGCAGCAAAGTATGGGTGGACGGATGGGGAATATTTGGCCACTTGGATGCAGACGTTGTCATTAAGAAGATCACAGACATTATAATGGATAACAGTGTGAAACCTGAACAGTGGGCAATGACGGAGGAGGGATTCGACGAGTCTTGGATGCCGATAGAGGTGCTTCGGGAGCCCTAGACTGAGGGCTACATATCTGCCTTTATGCCGTTTATTTTGTATTCTTCGATCCAATTTCGCGATCTTACTGCTAAGTGCAACAGATCTTTTTAGTTCCAATTGAGCACGGCTTCATCAGTCAATCGGGCCATTGTATTCGCACTGCTTCTATCAAATGCGACAGCAAGCTGTTAAGTTCATTGCCAAATGTGGAACAAGAGAACACACGGCAGAAGAACTCACTGATGCTCCAGCCTTCAATGCGATGATCGCGTGTGAAGTGCCTTTAATATCGGATCTTCTGGCATATATCAATAGGTGGTCTTTCACCTGCTCCCACTTCTGCCCTCAATGAATTCCGACGCCGAAACCCCCTCCGAGGATGACTTATCGTTCTGGAACAACGAAATTTGAAATTCCGTGTGCTTATCCTCGGCCGTGCGAATGCCGGCAAAACGACAATACTTGAGAGACTAACTGGAGCCTCCATGGACGAGGCGGAGGTCTGGCGGGATGGAAGAATATTGCCTGGCCAGGTTCGTCGACCATTGAAACACTTCAATTATCATGTCTGATCGAGTTGATCCAGACAGTGAAGGGCCAGATAGATGTATGTTCTTAGACTGTTGTTTTTATTTGGTCTCTAAAGGCCCAAAGCGTGGTTTGCACAACATTGATGATGAGATCCGCTTTCGCCCCAAGCCTGGATTTGTCTTTCACGACTCGCGTGGTGTCGAAGCAGGCTCAGCCACAGAACTCTCCACTGTCCAGCGGTTCGTAGAGGAGCGGTCATCACAGCGAAGGATCTTCAAATCAGCTGCATGTCATATGGTATCAATGTTGTTGTTTCTGCCATGTGACATGGATTTTTTGACACATTCTTCAGGATGTGCCTTCCTCTTGACGAATGTCGGGAGCTGTTTGAGAGTGAAAGGGACATTTTCCGGCTGTTGAAGGGTACAGGTGAGTGGCAAGAGAACCAGCATTGAGGCTTTCTTTGATTGACAAGCCAAAGTTCCACTGTTGTAATATTTACAAAGCGGGACGGGGCTGTCTCCAAGGAAACATCCCAGATCCTCATGGACTCCCCAGGAAACACTCACAGCCGGTCCATTAGGAAAGAAGCACGCAGCAAAGCAGAACTCGAGGTTATTAACCGCGTGAAGGAACTTGAGGGAGAGCTGAGGGGCCTGGGCCTCACTGACAATGCCACAGTGTTTCTGACGACTGGTGGTATATTCATTGATATTGGTGTTGATGGCTGTGCTGACTGTCTTCAGGGATGGAAATGCCTACGGTTGATGCGGAAAAATTGTCAACAACTGATTGACTTGACGAGGAGTGTTTAACTGGGCCAAGAATCAAGACATTGCTATCAGTGGTGTGGGGCCATAATCTGTTGAAGCGTGGATTCTGGTGTTTGTATTGGTAAGGATTGCTTCACTAACTGGGCACCAATGACTGATTTTTAAAAGGGCCTTGAGATACAATACTTCAAATGGTATCATTGGGTGCATATTGAAATTTGTTCTGTTGATGCATTTTCCCTATTTTCAGGAGGTGCAAAACTAGGCTCAGGAGCACCAAGCATGTGGAACTTGATACAACGTATTTGCAGTAACATGGTGAGTATGAACCAACGAGGAGAACACATGGGCCACTGAACTTCCTGAACACTATTGTAGTCGGTAAGATAGCACAGTTCCCACCAAATGGCCAGACTGACTAGTCTTCCTTCTTGTGTGTGTAGCTTGTGAGCCTGCCCCTTTGCCTTGGCCTGCTCCCTCTGCTCACTGGTCCTCCTTTTGCCTGTGTAGCTGTGAGTCTGCCCCTTTGCCGTCGGCCTGCTCCCTCTGCTCACTGGTCCTCCTTTTGCGCCTGCGTAGATGTGAGTCTGCCCCTTTGCCGTCGGCCTGCTCCCTCTGCTCACTGGTCCTCCTTTTGTGCCTGCGTAGTATGTGAGTCTGCCCCTTTGCCGTGGCCTGCTCCCTCTGCTCACTGGTCCTCCTTTTCGCCTGTGTAGTGTGAGTCTGCCCCTTTGCCGTCGGCCTGCTCCCTCTGCTCACTGGTCCTCCTTTTGCGCCTGCGTAGATGTGAGTCTGCCCCTTTGCCGTCGGCCTGCTCCCTCTGCTCACTGGTCCTCCTTTGTGCTGCTAGGATGTGAGTCTGCCCCTTTGCCTCGGCCTGCTCCCTCTGCTCACTGGTCCTCCTTTTGCGCCTGCGTAGCATGTGAGTCTGCCCCTTTGCCGTCGGCCTGCTCCCTCTGCTCACTGGTCCTCCTTTTGCGCCTGCGTAGATGTGAGTCTGCCCCTTTGCCGTCGGCCTGCTCCCTCTGCTCACTGGTCCCCTTTTGCGCCTGCGTAGGATGTGAGTCTGCCCCTTTGCCGTCGGCCTGCTCCCTCTGCTCACTGGTCCTCCTTTGCACCTGCGG